GATGCAGAGCTGCTGTGGCTGTTTTTTTTGCTGTATTTCATTTCTGATGTATTGATTTGTTTTCCTGACTGTATTGTTTGATGTTTACCCTGTTGGGTTGAAAGTGAAGCCTGTTCACTTTTGCCTATTGTTTTCTAGGTTCGAGGTTGAGTGGGACTCCCTTGCCTCGCTTGTATTGGTGCATCCATGCATTTTACCGCTTTACTGTATATATCTGATATTGTTTCTGTTTCCGTCTATTCCCTTAGGATCTCTGTTTCTCTCTGTGCAAGAGAGGAGCATGATAGACACTAGGTCTTAACCCATGCATGACAACATTAGGATAGTTTGATTCCCTTCACAACCATAGGGTAGAGTTCTGTCTCTTTCTTTCTCAAAACAAACGGAAGAACACCATAAAGATTTCAAACACAATAAAAGACACTTCTTCCGTAAAAGAATGTGAACTCATCAAGACGTCATTTTTGTCCGCTTGGACTGTTAAGCAGAAAAACCTTTTTTCAGAAGGAATAAAAACAATCAAGACAGACTTGTGTCGTACGTGGCCCGAACTACGTTTGCTCTGATCTTTCATGCTGTATGAAAGTACGTAGGCATAGGATACGATATCCTAGCGAGCAACCTTCCCCTCCTTTCCCGTAGGTAGGCGAACTACGTTGACTCTGATTTCTCGTTCCAGGCGGGAATACGTAGGCATAAAGTGCGATACTTTGCCGAGTCATTTTTATTTATTTTTTTTCATTTTATTTTCTTTTTAACCCTTGACCTATAGTTTAGATAGAATAACAATCCATACCCGAAAACAAGCGTGGATCCCGTCGAGTACGACGGACGTGAGGGGTGCTAATACCTTCCCCTTGGGTAACTGACTCCCGAATCCAGGTTTTGGTTGCGACGACCATACCTTTCCCATGTTGTGCGAGGTTTACTCTGAGCGTTTCCTTTCCCTCCCGTGGGATAAATAATGCACGGTGGCGACTCTTCTGTCAGTCGGCGCCGATTTTCGCAGTAGCGACAGCTACGTATTCTCATTGATAAATGAGAAATCAGAGCAGCCGTAGTTCGGCTAACTACGGTGAAAGGTTTGGAAATGAACGAGTGTTTAGGTTGCATTCTAACTGCTAAACGTTGGCTTGTCTGCTCGCTAGGGGAGGCTGAAGCACGAGTTCGTATGCGCGGAAGAAAGGACTAAACAATGTTCTTTGGTAAAAGGTATGGGAACCTAAAGGTGGGAAAGAATGAAAAGAAACGTGCTCGCTAGGATCATCGCAATCCTATGCCTACGTACTCTCAACAGATATGAGAGATCAGAGCAGCCGTAGTTCGGCTAACTACGGTAAAGGGTTTGTGTTTGGAATGAACGAGAGTTTAGGTCGCATTCTAACTGCTAAACATTGGCTTGATTGCTCGCTAGGGGAGGCTGAAGCGCTAGTTTTTTATGCGCGGAAGAAAGGATTAGACAATGTTCTTTGTGAAAGGTATTTTAGGCTGGAGATCACACGAGGGCGAGAAATCTGTGTTTATCGTATTGGATGTTTTGGTTTTGGAAAAGGTGGGTAGATTGTAATAGGTTTAAGGTTTCGATTGCACGGGGGCAAGAAATAGGAGTTTGGTTAGGTAATTTTGATAGAGAATGACGACTATTCGATAAACGAGATGTCAACCTCGCAATCAATTAATCGGGATATCGTTGGAATGCTAGATCCCGACGAGACCTTTTTCACTCCATTAATTATGAAACTGTATTTGAATGGACGATGGTATGTGTCCAAATAATTAGGGCACGTGTTTTATAAACGAAAGGTCGAGTAATCCACAACCTAAAGTGTACGCCTCAAGAGTGGTCGCTCAAGAATTCGAGGAGTGCGAGACTCCAAGAACTCCATTCTTTCGAAATTTAATCAAGAAGATAGTTTGGATTTGACGTACAGCTTAGAGTCGTACTAAGGTTTAGACTCGATCGTATGAAGGTGAGGAACGAGATTATATGGTTTGAAAAATTAGGAGGAATGACGACTACTCGATAAACGAGACGTCGGCCTCGTAATCAAATCAATCGGGACACCATTGGAATGCTCGATCCCAACGATGCCTTTTTCATTCGAAATATGTTTGATGGATGGTTTAGACGTGAAAGAGTTTGAATTGAAAGAGATTTTGATTCAATCACGCGAGGGTGAGAAACGAGGTTAGACGAGTTGGAAATTAGGAGGAATGACGAATATTCGATAAACGAGACGTCGGCCTCGTAACCACTTAGTCGGGATATCGTTGGAATGCTAGATTCTAACGACATCTTTTTCATTCCATTAATCATGAAATATGTTTGTTGGATAGTGAGAGTACTTGTCCAAATAATTAAAGGAGGTATTTTAGAGACGAAAATTTGAACGACGCACCATTCAAGGCGTACGCCTCAATAGTAGTCACTCTTGAATTCGAGGAATGCGCGACTCCAGGAACTCGATTATTTCGTGATTTAATTATGAAAATAAACTAGGAATATTAGCATACTCGGACTAGGTGTGCTATGTATTCTAGAAAATAAGATCGAAAGGGTCGCAACTCGAGGTGTGCACCTCGAGAGCGGTCGCTTAAAAAATTCAAGGAAAGCGAGATCCAAGAATTTAATTGTTTTTGAAATTCGATTGAGAAAAATAGTCTAATTTAATTAAGAAAACTAATTTTAATCTTCATATAGAATAAATTAATCAACTATGAAAAGGTTTTATGAAAAACTAATCATAATTAATTGTTTTGAGAGAATTTAATATATTAAAAAAGTTTTAACTTAATAATAAAGTATAGTTTTTCAATATTTAAAATATTATTTGATAAGAATTTTGAAATATATTTTTTTTAGAATAATTTGAATTTTCTTATAAAAAATATCTACTTAATAAAAAAAAAATTTTAAATAAAATATTTTAGGAATTTCAATTAATTTGAGTAAAAAAAGATTTGGGAACCGAAAGACGGAACAACCACAACTCAAGGGCGTGCGCCTCGAGAGCGGTTATCCAAGGACCCAAAGGGTGCTAGACCCCAAAAGCCCACTACTTCTGTTATTAAATTGAGAAAATAATTTAAAAAGTAATTGTCAAAATAAATTATAATTAAATTAGGAAAAGATAGATATTTGACTAAATTTATTATTTAGAAAAAAACGTTTAGTAAAAACAATTTGGAATAACATTTAACATCCAGCACCATAACGATCTCAAATGGAACCCTGGAATCAAAGTATTGCCGAAACCAATTAACCGTCGTGGCAACCAAACCAACAATAGAAACGAAGTAATGATACTGTGACTTGAGGTCATTTATTTATGAATTTAATGAAAACAGTATCCAAAGAAGTAAATGAAAAAAAAATGGATGTAGTTACAGTGTAAATTAAGCAACAATAAATGGACTCGCATGAACTAGGACAACAATCATCAGTACATATATATTTATAGTTCTTACTAAGCAACAATAAATTAAGAAGAGGAACAAAATAGAATCACATGAACTTTTAACAGACAACACAAAATGCAATGTAAATCAAAGCTTATTCAACATATCGACACGAACCAGCTATGGGACAACATGCAGCCACAACATACATTGCGAGATCGGACAATAAGGGAGGTGGAATCGAAGCAAACAACAAAATTCATTTAAACTAACGGAAGTGAGTCATAAACCAAACCGCAATTCTAACACGCGGCAATCCGGCAGCATATCAATCTTTGACAAAACTCATGGGTTCACAAGATTATAATTGAACAACCAACAATAGAAACTGAACTAGATCGCATTTACAATATTATGACACAAAACCAGAGTTATAATCTAAGCATTTGAAACACTATTAAAAAAAGAATCCAATAGATATAATGTTCACCCTATAGAAGCATATAATTATTTCTCCATAATTATCTACAACTCAATAACAACAGATTAAATTAGAGTGTTACCGATGTCGAACTCAATGTCGGAACGAGGTTATATTATTACCACTTGTCTGCTTTCGACATCATGAACGCCATTTCTCGGATGTGAGGAAACGGTGGCTACTTCTTCAATGTGCAGAAGCCGCGACGTAAGCCAATATTGAGTCCAAATCCTAGATTAAACATCACCGTTGGGATCTGTTTGATGCTATGATGTTGTTCTTCTGCATAATCGATGATTCGAGCCGCAACCTGCGCAATATCAACAGCCAGCCAAATAGAAAAGAAAGAAAACTCGTTCTTACTTGAACTGTCGAGAGTCGTTGTGATTCAGCATTGAGGAATTTTGCTGCGGTAAACCAATAGCTATAACGCCGTTAAAAACTTCTGAATCTTGGCCTGTGCTCGCTTCTTGCTTTGGACAAAGATCAATACTGGAGGATTTAAACTCTCTGCAAAACTCTGTCGAATTGCTATAAGTTTTCCTTCTTCACTTCCAGTAAAAACCAACTTCTGCTTAATTGTTTCAAAAGCCATATTCTTCTATTGAGGGATTTGTGCAGGATTTAATAATAACATCAATCTCCTTGAACATTCCAGGCTCAAATAGCTTATCAGACTCATCAAGGACAAGATACTCAACTCTGCTGAGATCAAGCTTTTTCCTTTGAGTAGCCAAGCGTAATCGAAAGGGCGTGGATATAAGTATGGCACAAGGAAATTTTGAAAAATCTGAACCTTGTAAAAGATGTTTTGTCATTAACTTGATGCGAAACTTTTCCCCTTTGGCAAACTTTTTGCATTCTCGGTATGTTTGGCCAGATAATTCACGACTATGACAGATGATAACAGCTCGAACGCCACCTTTTGAATGAGCCTTGAGCTTCATGAGCATGGGACACACAAATGCAAGGGTTTTTCCAGAGCCGGTTGGGGCACAGGCAAAGCATTCACGATCCTGTAAGAGTACTGGAATAGCCTGTTGTTGGATTGGTGTTGGTTCTCTGAATCCATGTTCTGCCAGATTCCGCAATAAATAGGACAGACATTTATAACTTGTTTTCAACTCATCAAAGCTTTGAAGTGGGGACAGCACATTGTAACCGGAGACATGAATGTTATGACTCTTCCTGAAGATAGCATCACGCTCGAGTCGTTTATTTTTTCTTTCTTCAGACGAATGGACTCATCATCACCGGCTTGGACTTTTTCATTTGTCTTCGATGTTGAACTTCGGAACACACTGAATCCACCAACAGCTTCAGAAGAGGTTTTCTTTCGCTTCCTTTTCTTTGAAGACACAGCTTCTATTGTTTCCTTGATTTCTTCATCTTCTGTCACACTCTGAATCTTCGTCGAACTAGTATCGGCAGTTTTTTTCTGAAACCTGGCAATATCTGCGCCGAATTTCTTCTGATTCACAGAACTACTCTGTACTAAAATCGCCAAAATCTCCGACGCATACTGTTTATTCCCATCAAACTCCCTCACCTTAATCTTCCCCAACAACCACTTCAACAAATTTGTCTTCTCGCATACCAACTCCGCCACAGCAGGTTTCACCTCAATCAAATTCTCAATCGTAGCAAGTGTATTATAAATAGCCGCATTTTCATCAGGATCAGACTCAGACAAACGGTGAAGATTCTGCACCAAAAGCTCCAACGCACTATTATCAACAATAGCATCAACAAGAACCCTAGCAGGCTCATCGTTTTCGTCATTTACCACCTCATTTTGAGCAACGAGAGCAGGGGTGCTTACTGGTACTTCAGGAGGAGCTGGTGTATTTGCAACGTTGTAGTCTTCATTGTACCCTCCACCATTATAGTATATATTTGGATTTGAAAGCACATCATCCTCATATGGAATTGGTCCATCAAGTTGAGGAATCCTAGAAGTTAGTCTCTCCAAGTCTGCGGGCATTTTCCCTTTTGAATTAGTGTGTTGTGAATTGAAGGAGATGCTCCCTCCACATACCTCAATTTCAAAATCGCCAGATCCAGCATCACCAGCTCCATCTTGCTGAGGTATATACCCTCCAACATCATATTGTGGAGGCATATCATTGCGTTTTCGCTTTCCACCAGGCACTGTGAAGAAATCTTGTGTCATAGGCTGATTAGAAGCTCCTCTATCAGCCTCTTCCCGTCCTTCCACGTAAGCAACATTGACATCAAGTGGAGGCCTCTGATTCATCCAAGGAGAAGGAGGTTGCATGAATGGACTTGGTCTTCCACCTTTTACATCAGCATTTCCACCAGTTTCATTTCCAGAAGAAGAGTAGTCACTTGGTCCAGTAGGAATGTTATAATTCGGGGTCTCACCAGCTCCAGGTAAAGGGGTCTGAATTGGAGTTTGCAATGGCGTAGGGGGGGAAAGTATTTCAGCAGTAGGAGTTTCATACTCCTCAGTCCCCTCATACGGCACATTCAGATCATGAACAGGAGTAATCGGACCACCAGGCGTTGGTCTATTAGCAGCAGCAGACCTCTCAATTGGACCAAGCACTGCACCAGCTTGAATCATCTTCGTTTCCCAAATGGCTTGAAGCTCTCGGAGAACTTCATCTCCAAGACCACCAACGTTGGTGACGAACTCATCTCGAACCTTGACCATGACATCTTCGATAACATCGATATAAACCTGACTTGTAGTTGAAGCGGCCATCAAGAATCGAGCGAAATTATGAGCGATTGATTCTCCGTTTTCGTCACCGATTAGAAAAGTTTTGCGAAAAACAAATGGAAGAGAGATAGAGATAATGTGAAGAAGAGGAAGAAGGTGTGTGTCCGATTTTAGGGTTTTTGTGGGGTTGAATTGGGGATAGTTAGGGTTGCCCTTCAAAATTAGGGGCGGCCGTTTTTTGGGTCTTGTGAACAGTAATTGCCCTGATTCTGTTAGGGTATGGTGAACAGTAATGACCTTATATAATCCCTAGAAATCCAACCCTAATCCACCGTGTCTTCTCATTCAAATTTTTTCCTCTTTTTTTAATATTTTCTTTTAATTTATTTTTCTGAATAATAAACTAAATTAAAAACCTATTTCCTATTTAATTAATTCTAACTATTAATTATAATTTTAAGTCTAAGCTAATTAATTAAAATCTAATCTAATAATTTAAAATAAATCCTAATTAAATTCTAACTCTATTTTTTAATCTATATTTTTTAAAATTAAAATTTCTAAATTATAATTAAGTTCTAAATTAAATCTATCTAATTAAAAAAAACAAATTTAAATCCTAATTTCTAATTCAAAACTAATTAAAAAAATAAAAAAAAACATTATATTAACCTATCACGAGAAAAATGAAATTATATATAAAAAAAAAGGTATATATATAAAAAAACAAATGCCACGTGGCATACCCTTATTGGGCTAAAAAAGCGAAAATGCATGTTTTTGCTGAAAAATACGCTACGTTGTATAAGCGAGGTAGATTAAAAACAAATTCGGGCAAATGAGAATTTTTTAAAAAAAAAGGTAGGACAAATTTGGGGTATGACAGCAGCTAATTAATGCAATAACTATTCAATATCCGTAATACAGAATGTTCAATAATGAGGTTCTAACTCGATACTTCTGAACTTATGAATCCTTCTAACTTTAGAAGACTCAAATGTTTAGAGTCACTAAAAATCTCAGAGTCTCATTAAATCATTCTAAGGAAATAAACATTATGAGATAATCATCTTTTTCATTCTGGACATAAATCCATGTTTAAATTCTTCAAAATGAAAATGAATATATTTTCAGTAAGGGGTTTTGTAAAGATTTAAGTACATTGATGGTCTATATCAATAAATTTTAAATTTTAAATTCCCTTCTGAGCATAGTCACATATAAAGGGATGTTTATTCTCAATATGTTTAGCTCTAGAATGTGAAATGGGATTCTTAGAGATACAAATAGCAGAAGTATTATGACAGAGAATAGGAATGTTACTCTCCTATATATGAAAATCTTCTAGCTGACTTTTCATTCAGAGCATCTGAGTGATGCATCTAGAAGTTGCAATGTACTCAGCTTCTGCAGTTGATAGTGCTATAGTTGATTTCCTCTTGCTGGACCATGAAATCAAATTATATCCCAAAAACTGAAAACTTCCAAAAGTGCTTTTTGTTTGAAGTCCGTCTCTAGTAAAAGCAGCATCATAGTAACCTACTAGCTTGTACTTTTTTGATTTTCTATAAAATAAGCTAAGGTTAATAGTACCTTTCAGACACATGAAAATCCTCTTAACAAATGTTAAGTGGGATTCTCAAGGATCTTATTGGAAGCAAGCACATAAACAAATACTAATTAAAATTTCATGTCTAGAAGCAGTTAAGTATAAGAGAGAGTCAATCATACCTATGTGTAACTTTTTCTCTACCTAACCGCTTACCTCATCCTTCTCAAGAATACATGTAGGATGAATAGGAGTTTTGGCTATCTTGCATTCAGACATGTAAAACTTCTTCGGAAGTTCTTTGGTATATTTACTCTAATGAATATAGGTTCCTTATGAACTTTGATTAATTTGAATTCCTATAAAGAACTTGAGTTTTCTCATCAGACTGATCTTAAAGTCTGCCTGCATAGACTTAGCAAATTCCTTGGATAAAGTAGCATTATAATAACCAAATATGATATCATCTACATAAATTTGAACAATAAGAATATCATTTTGAAGTGTTTTACAAAACAAAGTTGTATCAAACTTCCCTTTGGTGAAATCATTTTCTAAATGAAAATTGCTTATTCTTTCATACTGTTGCACCCTAAAATTTGCTCAACCTTATTCCTTGGATTTATGTTTCATCATCTTTAGCATTTGCATGTAGAGTCATGTACATAGACTAACCATCTGCATAGCATAAGCATAGCAAGTCATTCAACAGGGGACCAATCATTATTTTCATCTCTAGAGGCCTATCAAGAGGTTATTATCCCAATTCAATCATATTCAAGTCATCAAGAAAGAATTTGAAAGCAAAGAGTTCAGCAGATCAAGCCTTGAGTCCATCTCCTAGCTGAGGGTATCTGAGGATCAACAAGAGGGTTATGAGCTGTGAGGTGAAAGCATGGAGAGCATCTAGACATCTGGAGAGACTTATAAAGTCATTTGGAGAAGAAAACAAGTCATTGATGAAGGCACAAGAGCTATAGTTGAAGGCAGTCAACTAGGGTTTCATCTGGGTCAACCCTAGGTCAGCCCTAGGTCAATTGACTGACTTAAGAGGGCATTCAAGTCTATTGGAGAGATGTGGGGATCAATATTGAACATATGAAGAAGGATATGGAGATATGACAAGGAGAATTCAAGAGAAATCAAGGAGAAGAGGAGTTACTAAATTAGGGTTTCTCTGTAAAATCCCCTAGTTTAGGTCAAATTTCCAAGCAAGATAAGTCAAAATGCTAGCTTCAAATGGCTTCTTGGCCAACATGGAACTTGTAGAGGATCTCAAGACCTTTAATTTGAGTGGTGGAAGACCTCAAGGAGATTTATAGAACTCAAGTTATGGTCCTTACAAGTTACAGGTCATCTGGGGTGTCTGAACTTTTGTCTGTGAAAGTGACTTGACTTCCAAGCTAGTTTTACCCCTCAAGGAGATTTCAAATGAATTCTTGGTCAACATAAGAATTGTTCCTCATTGTCTTAGCTTTCTAGAATGGTATGGCATGCCTTCATATGATGTGGAGAACTCAACTTATGGTCTTGACAAGCAAAGGGTATTTTGGGCATTTGTGAATTACAGGTCATTTTAACCTATACCCAAAACTCATACAAGGAGGCCTCAAATGGAAAAACTTCCAACATCAAACTTGCTCCAAATGGGATTTTAAGTCTAGAAAGAAGGTCACAAGTTATTGGAGAAGCCCATAGCATGGAGTTGCATGATAGGTCAAAATATGAACTAAAAAGGCTTATAAAGTGAATAATTTCAAGTTGGAAAATGGTTTGGGAGATTTACAAGTCCAAATGGAGACTTCCAATATATGATTTTGAATGGAAAAACAATTCTAAGAACAATGGTTCACCCACTTTTTTGAGTTTAGAAGGAAAAAATGAAGTTATCCATGGTTGCTTATCATTTAAGAAACATGATCAAAAATGAGCCAAAGTTTGAAAACAAGGGAATGTGCAAGATGGATCTAGAATGTTCATTTGGGGTCTATATATTCATGAAAGGAGAATTTGGCAAGGGTTGGCCTCATTTGCACCAAGAATTTCACAAGATTTCTCACACTTTTTCATAAAAGTTTCATTCCAAATATCTCAAATTCTTTATCAATCTTCATCATAATCAATTCAATTTCATTCCATCATCATCATAGATCATAATTGAAGCAAGTTTCTGGTAGTTATCATCCATTTTCGAGTGCTTTTCTCAAGATCATCAAAATCACAAGTTCAAGTGGATTGCATGATTCAAGCAAGGAACCTCCAAGTTTGTGCATACAGAATCAAGTTCCTCAAGGATTGATCAAGATTCAACACTTAAAAGCCTCAGATCTTCCATCTCCATAGCTGTTTGCAAGATTTTGCACAAGGTAAGTTTTCAATCACACAGCTCGATTCAGTTAGTTAGGCATGATTTTGTTAGTGTAGAATTGATCTAGGTGGTTAGGAGATTAGTTTAGATGAATTTGGAGTGATTTGGAGTCCATTGTTAGCAGGTATCATAAACTGTTTGGATCAATATCTCTTATGTTAATGCACTAGAATGTTAGTTGGATTGATCAGGTTAATCACCATGATGTATAGAGCAGTTTAGGATAGGTTTGAGAGAGAATTATCTTGGTGCATCTCAGAGTAATCTCATGATAACCAGAGTTTGATGCGCGCGGGTTTGGTGTTGTGGTGAGTTTCAAATTGATCTAAGGCCATAGGATTATAGAGGAGGAGATTCTGAGCAGATTTCATGTTTACATCATGAGGATTCATTGCGTGTGGAGTGAGAACGGTTTGGTGTAAGGTAGCTCGTGCATGAGCTCGCATGGCAGAAACCCTAGGTTTCAGGTTGAATGAGGAAGAAGACGAAATCGTGGCCCTTCGTTTGGTGTAAGACTCTTGACTTTTAGAGTGATCCAATGGCCTATATTCAATCTGAATTGGAGGGAGATTACCCTGGCCCTAAACGCACCGTTTCATTAATTGAAACGGGCGGGCCTCAGATGATTGTGTTATCCCCACCCCCGAGTTAGGCCCAAAACTATTTTCCAACGTGTTTTCGCTGCTTTTCTCACCCCCAGCTGATTCCCTTTTGTCTTTTAATTCTGATGGTTGATTGGGCCCAGTGTGAAACGCTACCAACACCCCCCTTTATGAGGCCCATCCAGAATTGAACTGCGCGTAGTTACTCTTCATACCCCCTCTTGCTCATTTTAATTCATTTTAATTTTTCTTATTTCATTCTAATTTTTGCCATTTTCATTAAATCATAATAAATTCATAAAAAATGTTTTTTAATCCATTCTTTTTACCATATTTTCATTAAAATGTCTAGAATATTATAGGAAAATAAAATTTCATTTTTAGTTTTATTTCATATTTTTTACATATTTTCTAAATAAATGTCACATTAAATAATTCATTTCATGCATCATTTTTATGATTTTTGTTCTCTCACATGCTTTGATATTTTTAGATCTTTCTTTTCATATTGTTTAGATGAGAT